TTGTGTGTGTGTGTGTGTGGTGTGTGTGTGTGTGTGTGTGTGATGCATAACAGTGAATATTAATCATTTTCAACTTGACAATCGCTGTATAGTAATCATAAACAGTCAGTTTTCATACATGAAATCATCTTCCCTTGAGAACTAAATCTTCGATGGGGGTGATTATCCTTATTGAACTCTGAAAATGAACTATTTACAGTAAGCTAAAATAAGAAGATATTCTTAATACATTTCAATCGATGGAAAGCACTTCTGTAGATGAGATTTGTTTAGAAGCACTCAAATCACAAATGTTTTTTTCTCTGTTTTGCTTTTTAGCTGAACTGAAGCTGAATATGCCGCGGAGCCCGACGTCCAGCGAGGATGAGATGGCTCAGAGTTTTTCTGAATATTCTCAGGAATCCAGCTCAGAAAGTTCAAAAGAGGAGGCCATCTATGAGACGATCAGGACAGAACAGACTGTCAGCCGCATGACGGACGTCCAGAGCCACTCGCTGGTCATTAGAGTGAATATCCCAGACCTGCAGCAGACGGTGAGTGTGTGCTTACTGACTCAATGAGTACAATTTGTCATAGGCGATCAACTTTTAGTGTACTTTAGCTTTTTAGTGTAACTTAAAACTTACTCTCCAGTCCAAAAACAGCATTTATTGTTTCCAGATGAGTTTGAGAAAACACACTCTCTTCTTTCCAACACACAGCTGAATTCAAACAGCACAAAGATTCAGAACAGTTCAGTCATTCTGTGATTCGATCACAGTTCCAAGATTCAGAGGTTCAGTCTATAGTCTAGTCAGAGGAGAGATTTATGTGAGTCTGGGAATCAATAAGAGTTCAGTGAAATACTGAATTACAGAGGCCTGTTCTTCATACGTGGAATACTGAATCATCTACGTTTAATGGTTGGCTCAGTGAGTTATTAGTCAATTATTTGGCTCTATCCTGGATTGTTCTGTCCTTTGAATCTCATCTCAGAGTTGTTGTCAAGCCTGAGCTTGATTGGAGCAGGTTTATTTCATGCAAACAGGATTCGATTGCAGTGCAGATGCTGAAAGTCCGTCCCAGTCGCCGACCCGTTGTTTAAAAGAGCGCTCTATTGAACAAAGAACAATAATAAATCACAATAAAAATGATAACTAACAAATTTAGTTGAAATAATAATACTGTGTAGCGGTTTGTTACATTTGCCTTGTGTTTGTTTGAACTCTTATTGTTTTGTATCTTTGCTTTGTTCCTGTTTCATGTTCTTTTTGTAGTCAGTTTGTAGTTTTTTTAATCAGCTGGTCGTTGTTCTGAGGTGTTTTGTCAGTTTCCTCTTGTGTGTTTATGTTTATGATTGACGTACAGTAGCGTATGCTTGACATTGATGTCTGAAACTGAACTGATGTCCCTTTGCTCTTCTTCAACAGAAGTGTGTGAGGTTTAACCCCAGTGCCACGGTGTGGGTGGCTAAACAGCGTCTGCTGTGTACTCTGAGTCAGAATCTGAAGGATGTGCTGAACTACGGACTCTTCCAGCCGGCCAGCGGTGCTTTCTTGGATGAAGAGTGTCTCGTCGGGGAATATCCACAGCTGGCCTGCGAGGACGCCGCGTCACTGGAGGTACCGGAAAGGCCTTACAATCGTCAGGGTCTAATGAAAACCATAGCAGAGTAATGCAATACAGTACGCTCAAGTAGCATAACTCAGGACATCAGGACTGTATTCTGAGGTTTGTAAATATTAGTTTCCCTGCTACAGTTTCGCTACAAAACCAGACTGTACGATCAGCCCGGTGCGGACGAGAAGCAGATTGCCAGACTTCACACAAAGGTGAGAGCCGACAAGTCCTTTCTTGTTTGGTGTTAAAATACCAGAAATCGTTTTGAATCGTTTTTTTTTTAATCATAATTCAAAATGACTGAAGATTTTTGGGGTAGAGAGAGAGATGGCACGTCTAGTACATTCTAGTGCTGTCTGTTTGCATGAAATGTATGAAAGTGAAGATCTCAATGCAGTCTGTGAGGATTATTTCAGCATCTGTGCACATGGCATGTTGCGTTCGGGCTCATTGTGGTTCTGATAGTCTGATTAAAGTAGTAAGTAATGATGTGCAATTTACATATAATAAGCAAAAACACTTATTCAAGTAACACTCAGTTATGTATCTAATTGTAAACAGATGTGTTTTGTTGCATGAGTAGCTGCTGCTGTGGCTTAGCAAGTATTTATGTATCTAAGGGCCTTAAGCATTCAGTATAATGGCTTCTGACTGAAGGATTATTTTTCTTTATTTTCTCTCTCCAGGCCAACTTGAGGAGGTTCATAGATTACATCCGACATCATCAGCTAGAGAAGCTCTCCAAAATGCTTGACCGAGGCCTGGACCCCAATTACCATGACATGGACACTGGAGGTACCAGTGATTTAAAGAGTGATATAAACTTCTTGTGATTATGTACAATAAGCAGAATAATTGCAACACAAAGGGAAAAAGTGGAGATAAGGTGAGAAAGCATGAAGCTCATTAACGCCAGTCAAGTCTGAAGCAAGATGTGACCCATAGTGTGTGTGTGTGTGTGTGTGTGCTATAGAGACGCCGCTCACCTTTGCGGCCCAGCTGGAGAGTACGGTGGAGTTTATTAAAGCACTGAGGAACGGAGGAGCTCATCTGGACTTCAGGGCCAAAGACGGCATGACTGCGCTCCACAAAGCAGCTTGCTCTAAAAACCAGGCCACGCTCAAGGTACACAACTGAACTGAGTTTAGTTACATTAAAACCAGAGATATTATTCGTTTAAAATTAGCAGACTAATATTGCATTAATTATTAGGTTTTAGTTCTAACAGCCTCTATTGTCTCTATTTTAGCTGGCATTTTCCAAAGATAGGGTACTCAATAGTGTCTGAAAACACGTTTTTTTAGCAAATGATCAGCAAAAGCAAGTACTTACCCTTCAGAAAACCAACTAAATATACCAGCTATATTTAATTACATTTATTTAATGTATGTAGTTTGCATTTTTTGCAACCCTGTCACCAAAACCTGGACTTGTATGATACAGGACTCCAGACTCAAGTTCTGCTGATGGCGGCACCAGATCCGGGATTTGTGGTGGTTTGGTGCCGGTTGCATGAAAACACTGAAAGTAGTTTGACTGAAGGCTCTCCATGAGGAAAAGGATTTCTTTAAGTGCATTGCAATTACTTTTTTACTCTTTTTCATGTCTTCATGTCACTCATCATCCCTCATGGGACACTAATGGTACAATAATGGGACACCAAAAAGTACTCTATTCAGGGAAAGTGCCAGCGACTTAAATGGTCCTGAACTGGAACTGCAAAGTGGCAACAAGTGAGACAGAAGAATGATAAATGTGGCTCTGCAGCACAAAAGCAGTGTTAAGTCGCTGGGGTATCTTTGTAGCAATAGCCAACAACGTGATATTTCAGTTTTTCTTTTTTAATAAATCTGCAAAAATGTCAACAATTCTGTGTTTATCTGTCAATATGGTGTGCTGTGTGTACATTAATGAGGAAAAAAAATTAACTTAAATGATTTTAGCAAATGGCTGCAATATAACAAAGAGTGAAAAATTTAAGGGGGTCTGAATACTTTCCGTACCCACTGTATGTAGTTTGCATTTTTTGCAACCCTGTTACCAAAACCTGGACTTGTATGATACAGGACTCCAGACTCAAGTTCTGCTGATGGCGGCACCAGATCCGGGATTTGTGGTGGTTTGGTGCCGGTTGCATGAAAACACTGAAAGTAGTTTGACTGAAGGCTCTCCATGAGGAAAGGGATTTCTTTAAGTGCATTGCAATTACTTTTTTACTCTTTTTCATGTCTTCATGTCACTCATCATCCCTCATGGGACACTAATGGTACAATAATGGGACACCAAAAAGTACTCTATTCAGGGAAAGTGCCAGCGACTTAAATGGTCCTGAACTGGAACTGCAAAGTGGCAACAAGTGAGACAGAAGAATGATAAATGTGGCTCTGCAGCACAAAAGCAGTGTTAAGTCGCTGGGGTAT